TGTGCATGTGTGAGTGTGTATGTATGTGTATGAGTGTACACGTGTGTATGTGTGAGTGTGCATGTGTGAGTGTGCACGTATGAGCATGTGTCTCTATATGGTTATGTGTGTGTATATGCACACACACACATGTTTTGAGAGGTGTACCTGCTCGGCAAGGGTGGTCTCTGCATCACAGATCGAATGAAACAACACGGTGTGATCCCAGCCATTAGTTTCAAACAATAAGAACCACATTACAGATTCATTGTTTCTCTTTTAAATTATATTGTTTAGCGGCTTGAAGGGGTTCACCAGGGTCTGAATATCAAAAGATTTTGGCAAATCGAGAATGGATTCACTCTCCTTAACTGACTCTTAACGAGGATACAAAGCATTCCTTTAAAAAAGCTCTTCACCTTTCCACTACATCATGGAAATAGCAAGGCTCAGACCCGACAGAGGTGGCCTTCGTTATCAGGTAGTTTAAGTGAGAAAATGATAAATTAGTGTCAGACTTTATTTCTTGAACCTATGGAATTGTCATCTGTGACTTGTATTTTAATTATTATTGCATCTAAGGTTACATGGGCAGGCATTTAAAATGTTAGCTCTTTAATAAATAGGCGTGTGTGTGTGTGTGTGTGTGTGTGTGTGTGTGTGTGTGACCATCTGCCATCTTTCCAACAGCAAGTATTACAGGTTCCTATTCAGTACTATTTGCTTCGGCAAGAGTTTACTCCTTGTCCTGGGAGTCACTTTTCATGTTTCTATAGATTTTTATTTTTATTTTTTTTCTTCCAATATATTTTAACGGGAGTTGAGGGGATATAATAACCCTATTAAAAAATGTTCCAGAAACTCACACACACACACACACACACACACACCCTTCTATGCCATACCAAACATGACACCTTTTACTCTTTCTTATTACCTCCAGGTCTTGACCCCATGCATACATCATTTGAGGTGGTGATCACCCACAGCACAGTTCTCTCTGCAAGGAAGATGCTGAGAGACCAGGGTTAGCCTGGGGACAGAGTGGCTGGTTCTTTTCAAATGAGACAGAAAGGAATCTTGTCACTCTGTCATGTTTCTATAGATTTTTAAATGAAAACCAGCTTCACCTAGTTTTACAGTGTATCTGTAGTAAAGTTTATCACAAGCCCGTTTGTGTTCGCTACATTTTACAAACCTATTTGAAATTTTTAGACATATGTGCAGACTGCAGGAAGGCCCTCGCCCAGTCTAAGTGGGATTCCCACAATCGTGGTAAAGAAAAAAGCTTTTCTCCACTTCTGCTTTACTGTGAGGATGCTGTTTGCTTGCTCTTCTCCCAAATCATATTAATACTACTTTAGTAATTTGTGTATCAGCCACTTACTGCATTAGCTTATTTAATTTCCAAGCTAAGGACTTCCTGTAAGAGGTGGTGCTGAAATCATCTTACTTTATAGATGGGAAAGCTGAGCCAAAACCAGATTATTTTGCCCAAGAAAAAGAACCAGTCAGTGGCAGATGGGGACCTGGCTTCAGGGTTAAACTTTTAACCTATTAAACCAGTTTATCATGGACACTGAATATCATTCCCTGTGCTATGCAGCAGGACCTTGTTCATTCATTCCCTGTATAATAGTTTGCATCTGCTAATTCTAAACTCCCCAACCATCCTTCCCCCCACTCCCCTCCTTGGCGATCCAAGTTTGTTTTCTATGTCTGTGAGTCTCTTTCTGTTCTGTAAATAAATTTGGTTGTGTCATATTTTAGATGCCACATATAAGTGATATCATATGGTATTTGTCTCTGACTTATTTCATTTCGTATGATAATCTCTAGGTCCATCTATTGTGCTGCAAATGGCACGATTTCATTCCTTTTCACGACTGAATAATATTCCACTGCATGTATGTACCACATCACCTTTATCCACTCTGTTGATGAACACTGAGGTTACTTCTGCGTCTTGGTTGTTGTGAATAGTGCTGTGGTGAACACAGGGGTGCATGTACCTTCTGGAACTGGGAGTTTTCTCTGGATACACGCACAGGCATGTCAGATACTGTTAATACATTCTTACTGTGGCCTGTATGTCTGTCCAGGCCTCATGACATTCAGGTGTTCCCCCTACGGTGTGTACCCCACCAGATCCAGCATCCTGTTTACGTAGCCACAAGAGTGCAGACCATGGGGTGTTCCGAGGTGCGAGGCTGGAGGCTGCCTTGGTGCTCCGGCCTTCAGCCCCCTCCTCACTGGGGGCATCGCACCGGCAGTGACTCGGCCGAAGGGGAGCAGCAGGCAGCCCGGGCCCAGCAGGGGCGCTCGGGATGAGCTGCACTTCGAGCTGCTGCTCCCTTGTGAGGCTGTGAGCACGGCTTCTGGATTCCCGGCCCGAGAGGGACGAGTGCCCTTCCTCCCGATGCCCGTGTCTCGGGCGGGTCTGAGACTCCTCTGTGGACACTCTCTTCTCCGTCTACTTGTTCTGAGGATGCAGAGATGCTTCTCAGGAATAGCAGCTGCTTTTAAGACTTAGGTCCTTGATGCTCACGCTTGTCATTCTGGGAAATGGGCATCTTAAACCCACGTGTAACCTCTTGCGATCACTGACTGACTTTAAAGTAAACTTCGGATTAATAAGCACAACTTCTTAAACTGATTGTTATGTTTATTACTGAGTTCCGGTACTTTTTACATTCTGTATATATGTCTTTTTAAAGTTATGTGTGTTGGGATTCTTTATTCTAGACTAACTGTCTTATTTTTTTCCAAATGGATTTTTTGATGAACAAACATTATTAAGTCGTGTCTGACTCATTGTGACCCATGGTCTGTAGCCCACCAGGCTCCTCTGTCTATGGGATTTTTCAGAGAAGAAGACTGGGGTGGATTGCCACTTCCTTCTCCAGGTGATCTTCCCCACCCTGGGATCAAACCCTGGTCTTCTGTATTGGCAGGTGGGTTCCTCACTGACTGAGCTACTAGGGAAGCCCAAGATATGTTTGTTGGGATTCTTTTTTCTAGGCTTACTGTCTTATTTTTTTTTTTCTAAATTGATTTTTTTGATGAACAGGAGTTCAGTGAAGTGAAGTGCATTTTATCATTTGTAATGATTAGCAGAGCTGACTGCAGACGCATGCAGGGGCCCCGCTGGGGCAGCACAGCCTGGCTGGTGGGACGCCCGTGAGTCCCGTTGCCCTCCGTGTGGGCCGGATTGCTATTGTAGCAGTGACGGCCCCTGCGGCGAGCCAGAAGGAAGCGGGTGTTCTTTCCAGCAGGGGACACTGATGAACCGGGTGCAGTGTTAACTCCTCAAGCAAATGCTGATGAATAACAGGTCCTCCCCTGACCGTGGGGCTTGACCGTGAGGGTGGGGCCAGGCCCAGGCCCTGCAGGGTGGCCGCTGGCGGGGTCTGAGTGTGCCCAGCTGCTCTGCCCCGTGTCATGGGCCCCTGCTGAGCTGCCTGAGCTCCTGACCACGGCGGGCATAGCTCACTGAAGGGCAGCTGCTTGCGTCAGCAGGTGAAGTGTGGGGCAGATGTGGGTGACCCAGCTCCCCACCCCCTGCCCACGTGCTTCACCCCAACACCACACAGGTGCCCATCGGTGTCCCTTGGGTCCTGGACAGCAGAATGTGACCTCCTGTGAAACCCAGCCCTCAGGGACCGTCCACGCAGCAGGCCCCTGCAGTGGCGAGGCTTCTGGGGGTGGGGTGCAGGGGTGCGCTCTGCACACTTCCAGGACTCCCGAGGCAATCAGGCCAGTCCCTCCCTTCCAGTCTGGGTGTGAAAGCGTTCTTCCTAAGAAGCAGGAGCTGCCTGGTCACTGCGGAGTCTACAGACGTTCCCTTAAATGAGGAAACAGGGAACTCTGGGGACTGAAGGGGGAAATGGATACAGCGCCCCCCGCTCCACCAGCCTCCAGAGCCACTGAAGCTCCTGGCTTTTCTACAATGCTCATTCATCAATCTTGATAGAATTTAACTTCATAAAACAAAGTAAAAGTGATCAAAGTCAATATGGGAACGTGAAGGACAGCCGGTCTCCAGGAACTTGATGCCTGGAAATCAGGTTTAGTGATGTGAGAATCCAATTAAGGGGGTTCGCCGCTCCAGCGCCCTGTTCTCCCCCCCCCCCCCCGCCGCAACCGGCCCGAGCGGGAGAACTGAGGCCTGTTTACTTTTCTGAGAGGATTCAATCATTCAGGTAAGTTCATAAATTCCTTCTGAGCAGGGAGATGGGTGGACAGACTGCTGTATCTCTGCATTTAAATCCAGGTCTCTGGGAAAACACTGCTATGCTGAGGACCACACTGAGGAAGGGACACCCTTTCAGGAGCGAGGCTGGCGGGAGGCAGGTGCCCACGAACACTGATCACGGGCACCCGTGAACTTCCTCTGGGAGCAACCTTCTCCTCGGCTTCAATACAACCCAGCCCAGGGGCTGTACAGCCTCAGGACATTTTCATTAATATGAGTCCTGGTATGGCCACCTTTGACAAAACTGTATGCGTGATTGGATAGTTACTGTATTTTTCTTCCCTAATAAGTGTGGTTACTCAAATGAAACATGATCAGGCAAAATATAAAATAAGTGATGAAACAAGCTTGCAGTTTTGACTGTGAACATTCAGCTCACTGTTATGGCTTATGATTTTCTGGGAAAGTCCTCAGAACAAGTATATGTTTAGGCCCTTACTCTCTCTATGTGTTTAAAAGGTCAGGTATTCATGAAATAGTTTAATAATTTTAACAAAAAAAATAGCATGTCAGAAGATCTGAACAGGCGTTAACGACATTTTTTTCTTTTTAACTAGAAAAGCAACAGTGTGTTTAACACACACACCAAGACTTGTAACACAAGGTTGAAAAACAGATGGTAACATACACGTTCAATAGATGCACAGAATGTGAGTGTAAAACAGTTTCTCTTGCACTGCAGTGATGCTGGGGTCACCGTATTTCTTGTAGTCAATAGACCCTATCGCCCCACTGCTCTGCTTGGGGACCACCCACCCACTGTTAGCTAGGGGGGGATCCTGACCCCACTGTTTTTTCTGGGGCTTTGTAGATCTGTTTTTGTCACGGGACTGAACACGTGACCCCCTGGCCTCTGGGCTGCTGAGGCTTTATCTGGAGCACAGGTGCACCAGTGCGCACTCAGGGAGTCACAGCTCGGAAGCTGAGACTGGAATGTGGAAGAGTCTGATGATCGGAAGATGCGCTGCTGTTCTGGCTTCTCACGTCCATGCGAAAGCTGCTTTTCTGTAATTCCCACCCCTCGGTCTTGTTCTGCTTCTGGAAAAACAAACAATACCATAACCACCCTTCTGTGTAAGAGCTCTTTGAATTATTCAAATTCAGGAGACTGGGCAGACAAACAGCTGCTGGAACTGACTCCACAGGCCGGTGGGCGGGCTGGACGTCCAGCCCTGGCTCAGCTGGGGTCTTGGGTAGTGAGTCAGGCCAGGGTTTCTGATCCAAACCTGCAAACCGAGGCCCACAGCTGTGCTGCAGCTCGGGGCCCAGAAAACTGAAATGAAATGGCACAGCTCCGGGCACAGAGCACAGTTAGTGGACGGTGGCTGCTTGTTACTCTGATATTATTTTTAGGCTAAAAAAATAAAACAGTCTTGATATATGGCCAGAAGGAAGTCATAGTTCACTGGGAGAAACAGGCATATAAATATCTAGAAAACAAATATACAGATGCCTAGAATACAACAGGATGTGCTGTGAGAAGAGTTGGAGAAAATAAGATGGGAACGTATCGACCAGGGACAGTCAGTTCATCTCCCCTGCCCCGCCACCCCTGCACCCCAGGCAGACACACATGAAATGCCGTCCGCTGAACTGACCCAGAAGACGGGGCCCTGCTTGTTGTCGCCTAAGCACCAGGAATGCAGTGTAGGAGGCGGTGACTGGACGGGACTGGGTGAGGCCAGGCCGCGGTGCTATCCCTGAGCCATGTCCTCCCAGGTGGTCGACCAGGGTGCCATGCCTCCCACCCTGCCCTCTGCAGCTTGGGCACGGCAGCCGACCCCATGGACCAGAGCCTGCCAGGCTCCTCTGTCCATGGGATTCTCCAGGCAAGAATATTGGAGTGGGTTGCCATTTCCTCCTCCAGCTATTTAATAGAAAGAGAACATCCCCCGGAGAAGGACATGGCAACCCACTGCAGTATTCTTGCCTGGAGAATCCCAAGGACAGAGGAGCCTGGCGGGCTACAGTCCATGGGGTTGCAGAGTCTGACACGATGGAGCAACCAAACCAAACAGCCAGCAGAGTGAGGATGAGAACGGGAGCCGTGACAACAAGCACGCAACACCTGATCTAGCCACCAGGTGGCGCTCTTGCCCTGTGTTTCGCAGCGGAGGGTCCCCGCTCCAGGCCAGGACTTCCTCTGCAGAATTCAAAGACTTTCTGTCCACGGTGTTCGGCTTCAATCAGGCGGCGTATTTTAAGCCCTGCACGTCTGGCCAGGGAGGTTCAGAGGGAGAAGCTTGTTTTTTTCGGGTTAGCAGCTGATGGACTTCAACTGTGAACACCCAGGTGTCCAGATGAGTGTATTCTGAAGTACTTGGGTGTTTAGGAAGGGGAAGTGTAGGATAAGGTTTTGTTTTATATGCAATAAAGGAATAAAGAGTCTCTCCCCTTTATTTCTTTAAATGGATCTTTGGAAAAGAGCTCTTTCTTTGATGAAATTTAAGCAAAAATAAGGATTTCAGGGTATCGGGCATTAATGGATGCTGAAGAGAGAGCTCCCTGCTCATCCCAGAGGAGCAGCGGTACTCTGGGCCTCAGCCTTCAGAGCCTGGGGGAACCGGTGAGGCTTTATTCTGGTGCCATTCATTCCTCAAACACTCTAAACGCAGTCCTTCCTGTTTGTGAGACGAGCAAGGAAAGGAGGGCCGTTAGCTCAGTACTTCCGGGAGGAGAGGTCTCCCAGAATGTCAGCAGGGGAAATGGGATGGGGGCGGTTAACTGGATCAAAACTGCCATCTGTCATCACCCTTCATCATCACTGCTATGGACATGCTTCTCTAAGATGCTTGGCTGATTAAACAATGCAACACAGGGCAGGGACGGTGTCCGGAAGGTGCACGCGAGAGTCTTTCTGCCTTGGTTACGGGATCACCGGGTCCAGACGTGCCCGTTGCACCTGGATGCGGCCGGTGCTGGCCCTGTCCCTGCCAGGAACTGGCCCTGTTCTCTGGGGCCGGGGTGTGCTCCTTCCTGCCCAGGGACGGAGCGGGAGGCGGTCGTGTGTATCCCCGGGGACCCGAGGCCATGGGCTCCCCACTAGGCACGCGGCGGGAGTAGCAGAGCAGCCTGGGGGTGAGGAGCCGGCCCTCACGGAGACCGCCTGGCTTCTCCGCGGGCAGCGAGTACCCGAGTACCCGTGGTCTTCCCGGTGGAGGAAGGCGAGGATGCCGATTGCTCTCCAGGAGGGGGGCTTCCCTGGGTTAGAGCCTCCGCGGTCCCACGGGCGGCCCAGGCGGACTGGCCGTGACGCCTGGACAGTTGGGCGCTCTGACACAGGGTCCTCACACGGGGTCCCTGGATGCCGGCAGACCCCCGCGCCAGGCTGGTCAGCGAGGGGGATGCAACAGCAGAGTCACTGGCAGCTCGCAGCGCGGGTGGGCGGGTCGCAGGGCGCGTGCGGTGCTGCTCCTGTGTTGGCGGCATGGTTCAAGGACACCCAGCCGCAGCCAGCGCGGTTCCTACGCGCGCGGTCCCCCAGGCTGCCGGCTTCCCCCAGCTCTGTCACAGCTCCGCCCACAGGGGGAGGTACCCCGTCACTGCACCTCCATCTGTCCCACCAGGCCAGGGCGGCTGTATGTCTCCACGCGATTTCATCATCTGTCACCGGAACTCACCAGTGCCTCAGCTCATCGTGTTTGGAAGGTGGACCAGTACTGCACCTTCTGAAGGGACATATTTGTCCAACTCTGAAAGCAGGAGGGAGTGTTGGACCAAGACGATTACTTTTTCTAACAATGTTTGTTTTGACTGGAAACCTTGCTGCCTAGTTCCATGTCAAGCAGAATAAAAGTAACCTTTTTTTTTTTTTCTTCCCCTGGTGGTGCTTTATAGGGTTGTAGGGAATCTTCATAAAATATGCCAGCAATGCATCTTTGATTCAACATTCACATATTCTCCCCCACACCAAATCTCAAGGCCATGCTTAAAGGCAATAAAAAGTCCCATAAAGAATGCCAGCTTATGTGGCTTATTTAAGAAAGAGGCTTTGATAAACTGTTAGCTCTCCCAAACTTCCAACTTTTTAACTCTGAATCCGCCAGACTCCAAATACCTACAAGTAGGTCTCTAAATTGTAATTGTTCACTCCTGTGGATAAGATTACAGGAGCCCATGTTTAAAACTGTGGTGAAAAACACACATTCAATTTACCAACGTGACCATTTTTAAGTGCACAGTTCAGTCGTGTTAATCAAGTACATTCCTGTTGTTGGGAAACAGGTTTCTAGATCTTTTCCATCTCACAAGAGTGACACTTTCTTCCCACTAAACACAGCTGCTTTTCCATCCCTCCCTGGCCCTGGCATACAGCATCCTTCTGTCTTTAAGAAATGGACTCTCTCCTGCTCATCTCCATCTCCCTTCTCCCTCTCCTCTTCTTCATGTAACTCTGTGAACCTCTCTGGGTGTCCCTAACGGGGAAGAATCTTTTCACCATTAACCTAGAAGTTTTATTAGCAGCGCTGTATAGTTGAAGAAGTCTTGAGACTATTGGAAGAATAAAACTGAAATCCAGAGGCAGGAGACGTAAGCCCAAAACCTGAGAACACTAGAAAACTCCTGACTATATGGAACTTTAAGTAATAAGAGACTGTCCAAAAGCCTCCATACCTACACTGAAACCAACCACCACCCAAGAGCCAATAAGTTCCAGAGCAAGACATACCACGTAAAACCTTCAGCAACACAGGAACATAGCCCTGAGCGTCAATATACAGGCTGCCCAAAGTCACACCAAACCCATAGACCCATTTCAAAACTCACTACTGGACACTCCATTGCACTCCAGAGAGAAGAAATCAAGTTCCACGCACCAGAACACCGACGCAACTTCCCTAACCAGGAAACCTTGACAAGCCAATCGTCCAACCCCACCCACTGGGTAAAACCTCCACAATAAAAAGGAACCACAGACCTCCAGAATACAGAAAGCCCACTCCAGACACAGCAATCTAAACAAGATGAAAAGGCAGAGAAATACCCAACAGGTAAAGGAACATGAAAAATGCCCATCAAGTCAAACAAAAGAGGAGGAGATAGGGAATCTACCTGAAAAAGAATTCAGAATAATGATAATAAAAATGATCCAAAATCTTGAAAACAAAATGGAGTTACAGATAGATAGCCTGGAGACAAAGATTGAAAAGATGCAAGAAATGTTTAATAAAGACCTAAAAGAAATAAAAAAGAGTCAATTAAAAATGAATAATGCAATAAATGAGATCAAAAATACTCTGGAGGGAAGCAAGAGTAGAATAATGGAGACAGAAGATAGGATAGGTGAGGTAGAAGATAAAATGGTGGAAATAAATGAAGCAGAGAGGAAAAAAGAAAAAAGAATCAAAAGAAATGAGGACAGCCTCAGGGACCCATGGGACAATGTGAAACACCCCAACATTCAAATCATAGGAGTCCCAGAAGAAGAAGACAAAAAGAAAGGCCATGAGAAAATACTCAAGGAGATAATAGCTGAAAACTTCCCTAAAATGGGGAAGGAAATAGCCACCCAAGTCCAAAAAACCCAGAGAGTCCCAAACAGGATAAACCCAAGGCGAAACACCCCAAGACACATATTAATCAAATTGACAAAGATCAAACACAAAGAACAAATATTAAAAGCAGCAAGGGAGAAACAACAAATAACACACAAAGGGATTCCCATAAGGATAACTGCTGATCTATCAATAGAAACCCTCCAGGCCAGAAGGGAATGGTAGGACATACTTAAAGTAATGAAAGAGAATAACCTACAACCTAGATTACTGTACCCAGCAAGGATCTCATTCAGATATGAAGGAGAATTCAAAAGCTTTACAGACAAGCAAAAGCTGAGAGAATTCAGCACCACCAAACCAGCTCTTCAACAAATGCTAAAGGATCTTCTCTAGACAGGAAGTGCAGAAAGGTTGTATAAACGTGAACCCAAAACAACAAAGTAAATGGCAACGGGACCACACCTATCAATAATTACTTTCAATGTAAATGGGTTGAATGCCCCAACCAAAAGACAAAGATTGGCTGAATGGATACAAAAACAAGACCCCTACATATGCTGTCCACAAGGAACCCACCTCAAAACAAGAGACACATACAGACTAAAAGTGAAGGGCTGGAAAAAACTATTTCACGCAAATGGAGACCAAAAGAAAGCAGGAGTCGCAATACTCATATCAGATAAAACAGACTTTCAAATAAAGGATGTGAAAAGAGACAAAGAAGGACACTACATAATGATCAAAGGATCAATCCAAGAAGAAGACATAACAATTATAAATATATATGCACCCAACATAGGAGCACTGCAATATGTACGGCAAATGCTAACGAGTATGAAAGAGGAAATTAATATAACACAATAATAGTCGGAGACTTTAATATCCCACTCACAACTATGGATAGATCAACTAAACAGAAAATTAACAAGAAAACACAAACCTTAAATGACACAATGGACCAGCTAGACCTAATTGATATCTATAGGACATTTCACCCCAAAACAATCAACTTCACCTTTTTCTCAAGTGCACACGGAACCTTCTCCAGAATAGATCACATCCTGGGCCATAAATCTGGTCTTGGAAAATTCAAAAAAATTGAAATCATTCCAGTCATCTTTTCTGACCACAGTGCAGTAAGATTAGATCTCAATTACAGGAAAAAAATTATTAAAAATTCAAACATATGGAGGCTAAATAACACGCTTCTGAATAACCAACAAATCATAGAAGAAATAAAAAAAGAAATAAAAATATGCATAGAAATGAATGAAAATGAAAACACAACAACCCAAAACCTATGGGACACTGTAAAAGCAGTTCTAGGGGAAGGTTCATAGCATTACAGGCTTACATCAAGAAACAAGAAAAAAGCCAAATAAATAACCTAACTCTACATCTAAAGCAATTAGAGAAGGAAGAAATGAAGAACCCCAGGGTTAGTAGAAGGAAAGAAATCTTAAAAATTAGGGCAGAAATAAATGCAAAAGAAACGAAAGAGACCATAGCAAAAATCAACAAAGCTAAAAGCTGGTTTCTTGAAAAAATAAACAAAATTGACAAACCATTAGCAAGACTCATTAAGAAACAAAACTGAACCAGGAAGAAATAGAAGATCTTAACAGAGCCATCACAAGCTCCATCATCAATGGAAATTGAAACTGTAATCAGATATCTTCCAGCAAACAAAAGCCCAGGACCAGACGGTTTCACAGTTGAATTCTACCAAAAATTTAGAGAAGAGCTAACACCTATCTTACTCAAACTCTTCCAGAAAATTGCAGAAGAAGGTAAACTTCCAAACTCATTCTATGAGGCCACCATCACCCTAATTCCAAAACCAGACAAAGATGCCACAAAAAAAGAAAACTACAGGCCAATACCACTGATGAGCATAGATGTAAAAATCCTTAACAAAATTCTAGCAAACAGAATCCAACAACATCTTAAAAAAATCATACACCATGACCAAGTGGGCTTTATCCCAGGAATGCAAGGGTTCTTTAATATCTGCAAATCAATCAATGTAATACACCACATTAACAAATTGAAAGATAAAAACCATATGATTATCTCAATAGATGCAGTGAAAGCTTTTGACAAAATTCAACACTCATTTATGATTAAAACTCTCCAGAAAGCAGGAATAGAAGGAACATACCTTAACATAATAAAAGCTATATATGACAAACCCACAGCAAGCATCACCCTTAATGGTGAAAAATTGAAAGCATTTCCCTTGAAATCAGGAACAAGACAAGGGTGCCCACTCTCACCACTACTATTCAACATAGTTTTGGTAGTGTTGGCCACAGCAATCAGAGCAGAAAAAGAAGTAAAAGGAATCCAGATAGGAAAAGAAGAAGTGAAACTCTCACTGTTTGCAGATAATATGATCCTCTACATAGAAAACCCTAAAGACTCTACCAGAAAATTACTAGAGCTAATCAATGAATATAGTAAAGTGGCAGGATATAAAATTAACACACAGAAATCCCTTGCATTGCTATACACTAACAATGAAAAAACAGAAAGAGAAATTAAGGAAACAATACCATTCACCATTGCAACAAAAAGAATAAAATGCTTAGAAGTATATCTACCTAAAGAAACAAAAGACCTATACATAGAAAACTATAAAACACTGATGAAAGAAATCAAAGAGGACACAAACAGATGGAGAAATATACCGTGTTCATGGATTGGAAGAATCAATATTGTCAAAATGGCTATACTACCCAAAGCAATCTATAGATTCAATGCAATCCCTATCAAGCTACCAATGGTATAATTCACAGAACTAGAACAAATAATTTCACAATTTGTATTGAAATACAAAAAACCTCAAATAGCCAAAGTAATCTTGAGAAAGAAGAATGGAACTGGAGGAATCAACCTGCCTGACTTCAGACTATACTACAAAGCCACAGT